AGAAACTAGAGTTCAGATTAGTGGTATTTATGCTCTGTCTAAGCTATGTCATAACTTTTGTTAATCTCTGTAGTGGTCAGAATTATTTCAAGTGTTAGAAGCCCAGTTTAGGTTGGTTTAAGCAAAGAAAGAAACTTACTGCCTCATGTGACTGAATTGTCTATGGTTCTTAGTACATAGAGAAGTATGTAGTAAATCATTAAGGGTCTGTTGTTCTTAGCTTTTCTTTCCTTCTGTTGGTCTGATTTCCAAGTAGCCTCTTCTCTCACAGCTCTAGAGTTGTACCATTGATCTAACAACTTTAGAAAGAAAGAGAATATGCCTTCCCAAGAATTGAATAAAATTCTTAGGATTGTCTTTTATCAGTTCGGATTGATGGGCTTAGAGCACATAAGTGAATGCGCTTAGACCTTATCATGTGACCAGCTTCAGCACAGATACATGGACATGAGAGTGGAGGAGATGAGCTTTAAAATAAACTAGGCTGTACTGGAGTAGTAACTTCCAAATCTCAGAAACTGAGACTCTCACAACTGAAAGCTTATTTCTCACCTTGTAGTTTGCTTTGAGTCCAAGTGACTTTAGAGTAGCTCCTGTTCATTCAGGAACACAGACTGTTTCCACCTTCAGGTCACCCTGAGGCTTCTACAGGCCTCAGCTGATGTCGAGAGAGCAAGTGGATGTAAACTCTAGATACTTGAGCCCGGTAGAAAAATCGGAGCTCATGGCCCTTTACATGGAATTGGCCATGTGGTCCTGATGAACTGAAAAGAAGCTGAAACTATGAGGTTTTTTTTTCTTTTAAACGAGCAGAAATGTGTCTTCCATAAACTGTTAGAAAGGTGGAAAATGTAAAATGATGAGCAAATTTTGTGTTAATGGTTCAGATCCTAGATGGGTAGTTATTTTATTAATGTGTAAAAAGAATTGTTTGTAAATAAATTCCATTTACTAAATTTGAAGTGTGTGTGGCAGATGGGTATCCTACCCAGAAAACCATTCTTCCTTTAAGCAGCTAGGGTATAGTTAAATAAGCAGTTGAGGTATAATCTACATTATAAAATTTATCTTTTAAAAGCAGTTCAGCACCTTTGAGTGTATTCACAGTTATATATAGTCACCATCACTATCTAATTTTACAACATTCTGTGTGTGTGGTTGCACTTCCACATATACATGCGGGGGTCAAAGGTTTATATCAGGTATCTCCTCAATTGCTCTCCACCTCTACTTTTTGAGACAGTATCTCTGACTGAATCTGGAGCTTGTGTATTTGGCTAGACTGGCCGGCCAGTGAGCCATCGGGATCCTCCTATCTCTGCTCGGGATCCCCCTCTCTCTGCCTCCCCAGTGATGGGATTGCATGTGTATGCTGGTACAACCGGCTGGAGATCAAATGCAGGTCCTCAAGCTTCACTGCAAACACTTTATTGACTGAGCTGTTTCCCATGCCCTATAATTGTAGAACATTTTTATCGTCACATAAAGAAATTTTGTACCCATCTATAGTAATTTCCTTTTCCAGGTCTGGGTAACCAGTAATCTTTTTTTGTCTCTTTAGATTTGCTTATTCTAATTAACTCACATTCATTATCTCTTCCTCATCTTCCCTTTGAGTTTACTTTTAGAATGATTGTAGGTCATACATAATTACTAGCATGATAGTTAGGAGTCTTCTTTTTCTGTCAATTTAATACCTGAAATAACAAATGAGTGGCACTTAGTAGCTTTGCTAGCATTTAGGTGAATTGTGAAATTGAGTTTTGGTTATGTTTCTGGTACTCATGATTAAGAACCACTGGTTAAGAGTTTTTAGTTAGAAATTGTTCCTATGATTCAGAAGGTTTTTCCCTGTGCTCCCCCATCTATCCTTCCTCTCACAGGCTTGTCATTCTGTGGTTCACATTTTATATGCCCAGTAACATTGAACCCACTCATAGTTCTTCTAAAGGTCTTTTCTTTTTACTTCCTGGTTTTGTTCATTAGATCTTTTCTGTTAGGATTCCCCAGGGATTTCCAGTTTCCTAATTCCTAGTCACCTCTTTAGGCTTAGTCAGGGAATTGGAAAGTTTACCCTTTCTTCTCTGAGAAAGTCTTTCCAAGAGCTCTCTACTATTCTTATCATGTGACGTATGAAAGTGTCTATAATCAGTGGTCTCACCTATTAATAATTGTTTGTGCATGTATCTGCATTGTTACTTAGAAATTATATATCTGGGGATGGAGAGATGGCTCAGCAGTTAAGAACACTGGTTGTTCTTGCAGAAGACCTGGATTTGAATCCCAGCACCCATGTGGCAGCTAACAACTGTCCGTAACTCCAGTTCTAAGGGATCCGACAGCCTCTTCTGTCCTTCGCAGGCATTGCATGACATGGGTGCACTTACCCACACACAGGCAATACACACATATACATAAAATAAAAATAATAAAATATTTTTAAAAAGAAATTATATATCTGTTATGTGTACTATTGTGATGGTTAGTTTTAACTGTCAACTTGACACAGTCTAGACTCACCTGGGAATAGAGTCTCAACAAGGGATTGCCTCGATCAGGTTGGCCAGTGGGCATGTCTGTGGGATATTGTCTTGGTTATGTTAGTTGAAGTGGGAAGACCTGCCTTCTATGGGTGGCATCATTTCCTGAGTTTGGGTCCTGGACTATTTAAGAGCAGACAGGGTGAACCCAGCACAGGCACACATTCTTTCTTGACAATCAGTGTGATGGTCACACTGGATGCTTCAAGTTCCCCTATAATAATGAACTGTAACCTGGAATTTTAAGCTGAATAAACCCTTTTCTTGTTGTCTTTGTCAGGTTATTTTTCACAGCAACAGAATGAACCTAAAATGATGAGTGTAATAATTTTTTAAATATTCATATTTTGATAAAAATTACATGTAAGGCCTAATGCTTTCATCCTGTACTTTACTTTCTAGCTAATGATGACTATAGGTTTTTTTTTTAATTAAAGATTTTTACTTATTTTTATTTTATGTGTATGAGTGTTTTGCCTGCATGTATTTAAGTGTATCACATGTGTGCCTGTGGAAGATAGAAGAGGGTGTCAGATGGATCCCCTGGAACTGGAGTTAAGGATGGATGTTAGCTGCCGTTTGGGTGCTGGAAACCAAACCTGGGTCCTCTGGAAGAGCAGTAGGTACTCTTGATCCCTGAGCCATCTCTCTAGCCCCATGCTACAGATTTCTTGATGACAGGAACTCAGTGTTGATCTGAATTTTATTCTTAGTGTTTTATCTGTTTTTTACTTCATTGGTGGTAGGCCTTTCCGTTTTTGTTATAGCACCTGCTGCATACCTTTATCATAACACTTACCATGCTGTGCATTGTCATTACTGGTATACATCTATCTCCTTTCCAGAGTGTCTCTTCAGTATGGGTACACTTTGGTTTCCAGTGCTCCCAGTAGCTTGCACAGCAGCTATTATATAGTACACAGTTATTTGTGGAGTGAATAAGCTGAATTAAATAGGATGAATTAGTGCTAATCTGAAAATAATTAAAACATTCTTTTTAAAAAGTATTTAAGAGGTGATGGGGCCATTTATTTTTTAAATGCTTATGTTTAAATTGAGATTATGAATCAGTTTTAGTTCTTCATTGTGTACTTAACATGTTTATAAATACAATACAAATTAAATTCTAGAAAGATGTGTTTAAAAGAGATTTAAAATATAGGCCCTAGCTGCCCCCCCCCCCCTTGATTCAACAGTCATAAAATTACTCTTCAAAGAGTCTTTGGGGCAGGAGTAATGATTCAGTGGTAAAGCACTTATGCAAGCATATGAACCTGAGTTTGGATTCTCAGAACTCATATAAAGCTGGATGTGGTAGCACATGTCTGTAATCCCTGCACTCTTGGTGGCAAGATGGGAGGTGGAGACAGGAAACTCTCCAGAAGTTCACAGGCTAGCTAGCGTGGTACAAGTGGTGAATTAAAACATATTATCTCAAGGTGGAAGGAGAAGGCCAACACCTGAGGCTGTCCTCTGACCTCCATAAGTGTGCTGTGGCACATACACACCTATACACACTCATACGAAAGTTTCAGTCTGTGGCTCTTTGGTGGTCCATATATTGTACTTTGAAGAGTATGATGTGAAACACTGTAGTCACTGCTTTATCCCATTTAATTCTTGTAAATCGGGAGTAACTACTGGCGACACCACATGCAAAGCCAGGACATAGGAACATTATGTAAATCGTTCCAGGTCCTGTAAATACCATGGAAAACATCCAGGATTCAAATCCACTTAACCTAGTCTGGCTCCAAAATCAGTGTGTTAGCTTGCATCTTACTTCATAAAGGTGAAACAAGGTGGCATTTCTAGTTTAAGAATGCTAAAGATAGAGATGATGTAAGCAAAAGTAGTTACAAATCAGGATGCAATTATTTACCTAAAGAAAGGGAAGGTAAGGGCTGGGGGGGGTATAGCTTAGTGGTTGAACACTTGCCTAACATGAGTAAGACCCTAAGTTCAGTGTCCAACACCTTTAAAAAAGGTGGTGGGGGAAATCACAGAGTGATTTTTTTCATAGAAAAGTAGGAGAATAATTTTTTATAGAAAAGTAACATGATAGGGGATGCTGACCAGCTGACATGCTGCTCTTTTATCCCCTTAGGCAGCATCTGTTTATGCTTTACCTTAGTTAGTCATATAAAAAATACCTGATTTGTCAAAAGAATGATGGTATTTTTTTAAATTGTTTTTGTTCCATGACTCAGTTTCACAGTTTTTCTTATTGTTCCTCTTATTTGATAGCATAATCAGATGGTTGTAATTACATAAATAGAAATAGTATTTTCAAAACAAAACATAAATGATGATCATATATTATTATATTAATGTTTATAGTTAATCATATTGCTGTTCTGGGTGTTTTATATTCTGAAATCCCTAGTGAAATTAGAAACTTTTACTAGAATATTTTTATTTTAACAGAATTGTTTATAACATTAATCTTCTTCCCTATAGAAATCTGGTTAAGAAGTACTGTCCCAAACGTTCATCTAAAGATGAAGAGCCAAGGTAAATTATATACCTGTTGCTGCTGTACATTACGACAAATTTTATTGCTTAGTAAAATATGCTGTAATAGTTCCATGAAGATTAAAAAATTTTTGTTTTAATAGAGATCTCAATGTTTATAAAAGAGGGAACTACTATTTATTTGATGAGAATAAATATTTTAATGAATTTAATCAATAGTTTTTTTAGAGTGGTTGAGGAAGGGATTTCCAAGTAAGATTTGGACCAGAATTCCACTTTAATGGTTTAGTCTCCAGAAGAAAGGAGTATTTTATTTTTGTACTTTATTGTGGATTTTATTGTGTGGTTGTCAGCTTTTTAGATTTTTGCTTTTTCAGGTAGTAAAACTGGCTGGTTGATTTAAAAGGTCAATGAAAAGGAATGAAATTTTAGAGATAATTTTGAACCCGGAATAAAAGGCTGGAAGTTGCTTTTGAGCTTTTTAGAAGTCTTAAGCAGTAATAAGTGGATGGCTATAAAAACAGAAACAAGATGATACTAACAAATAGCTTTGTGTATAAGTATCAATTATTAGGATTCTTAGGTTTCTGTTAATGGAGCCCTATCTGAGCTGTCAGCTGTAAGAGTGTTCCTTCATGTGTTCAAAGTAGATATATACATTTTAACACACTTATTCTCTTTGTTTTTCTCCTTCCCTTCACACACATTTTTACCCTTATTTTTGCCCCCTTCTTATCCCTTTGGTACGAGCCATAATGGTGCTTCACGTCCATTCAGGATGTGGGCAGGCATACATGGAGCTGTATCCAGAGCTGGTAGCAAAGTTGTTCTGTAGATCAGCTATCGAGATGCATTTGAGTGGTATGATTGTCAGGTTCTGTCCTCGAGAGCAACGCAACATCTCTGCAACAGGTTCAGCTGCCAAGCCTAGGAATCCGAGTTGATTCCCAAGCTCAGGCCAGTCAGTTGGCAACCTAAGAGATTCCACTATGCCAAAAGAGCCTGCAGGTAGTATTCTTACTATATTTTGAACCCAAATATCCCACTTATTTCTGAATTAAAGAGTACTTGAAGATATTCAGATATGTACGACTTGAGCTTAATGCAGGATTCTTTCCATATGAAGTTAACTTAGAACTAGTAGCTGGAATTTAGGCTGGTATATTAAAACTTTGTGAACTGTTAGACACCATATGTACCTCACCAGATAATTTTAGGGGAAGCAAGAATAAAGGTCACCATTTTCAATGTTTTGCCAGGTTTACCTCGTGTATCGCCTTTTTTAACATCCTTAATGAGTTAAATGACTATGCAGGACAGCGAGAGGTAGTCGCAGAAGAAATGGCACATAGAGTGTATGGAGAGTTAATGAGATATGCTCATGATCTGAAAACGGAAAGGAAAATGGTAATTTTTATAATTTATATTCAGTTACAATAGTTTTGTCAGATTTCACAAAATGATTGTTTTTCATTTTAGAAATTATATGTTCAGTATAAACTGGTTTTCTGCTTTACTAATTTTTTAATTAAAAATCGTGAGATTATGTTTGCTGATTTATATCTGTTAAATTTAAGAACAAGGTTTGGCAAAGTACAGCACGCAGACCAAATACCGCCTACTGCTTAAATTTTGCTTCCTAGATTCCATAAGCTAAGAATGTTCTTGACATTTTCGGTGGTTGACAAAAGAATAAAAAGTAAATATTTTATGGCTTGTGAAATTATATAAAATTTAAATTTCAGTGTCTATAAAGTTTAATTTCTATTCACTGACTTCTATATTGTTTGTGGCTGCTTTTGCATTATGTAGGCGGATACCATGTAACTTGCAAGCCTGAAATATATATTACTTATTATCTGACCTTTTATAGAAAATCTTTGTCAATTCCTATTGAAGAGGATCATTATTTTCTTAATATGTCTGTTTTAAAGGTTATATTTAAAGTATTAGCCTATAAGATGTATTTTAAGGAGATTTGCTTTATTCCTTTTTTGTTAATATACATATATGTATGTATATTATATATACATTATATCACCATGGAAAAAAATAAAGTGAAGAACCTTTGGGGTGTTAGAATTTACTTATTAAAATTTTAGTGTCATTATTTTTGTTAATTTTGTTCTGCTTGTTTGTTGTTGGTGATTATAATCTTCAGCATCTCCAAGAAGGTCGAAAAGCTCAACAATACCTTGACATGTGCTGGAAACAGATGGATAATGTGAGTTATGGTCTTTTCATGGTTAATTAAAAAATTTGCAGACCTGTTTACCGCTAAACTGTGTTGTGCTTTACATTATGTGAGTTTAATCTTTCTCAGTGTATTATAATTTGATGTTTGTTTTGTTGTATAGTAGCCAGTAAAGTATAAAAGGAGAATGTGAGCTCACTTTTCTTCCTTTTCTCCATGTAACTGTAGTTGTATGAATTCCTTTACCTTCATATCATTGTAAACATCTAGGGAGATTGCTGCAGAATACCAAGAGGAGATAGAAGTAGTAGGGAAGCAGTGCTGGATCTTAGAAGACTGTGACTAAGACTGAGAGAACCAACATTCTAGTTCTATTTAAGTTTTTTGAGACAGAGACAGGTAGTGTTGGCTGGCCTTGAACTTACTATGTAGCCTGGCCTTGACTGGAACTCGCTGTGTAGGCTGGCCTTTCAAGTGCTCAGATTAAAGTGTGTGTCACCATACCTTGAGTTTGCTAGCAGGTTTTTTTTTTTTTTTTTTTTTTTTTTTTTTTTTTTTTTTTTTTAGTTGTTATTGTTGTTGTTTTTGAGATAGGGTCTCCATGTAACCCTAGCTGGCCTGGAACTCACTATGTAGACCAGGCTGGCCTCACTCACAGAGCTCCACCTTCCTCTGCCTCCCAAGTGCTGGGACTAAAGGCATGTGCCACCACCCCCGGCTGCTAGCCGTTTTTATGCTGGGCACTATATTCCTTAACAATTATGCTAAAGGAAGTATTTTGTATTTAATTTGTTTAGTTGTTATTATTAGAAGTGCTTTAAAATTGAAATTTTATGCTGGGCGTGGTGGCGCACACCTTTAATCCCAGCACTTGGGAGGCAGAGGAAGGTGGATCTCTGTGAGTTCAAGTTCAGCCTGGTCTACATAGTGAGTTCCAGGACAGCTGGGGCTACAGAGAGGCCCTGTCTCAGAAAGACCAAAAAAAAAAAAAAATTGAAATTTTATAAGTACATGCAGAATATCCTGGTTTCTTTTCATATTGGGTAAATCCTTTATCTTTTAAAAGCCCATGCATATATTTGGCATATTTGTATATTTTCCTGTAAAAATGCATATTCAAAACTTTGGTTTTCCACAAATAAAATACCTAATATAAAACCAACTTTTGTTTATAAGTAGCCTCAATTTGTACCCAAGCTATTAGCCCATAGCTGTTGGTTCTAAAATGGGGTTAGGTGAAGCCAAAAGTCCCCTACTTTCTTTTTCTGAGTAATTCTCAGACTACAAATAGCAAGGTATTTTCCAGACAAGGATTTAGAATAGGCTTTCTCCAGAGCTTCTTAACAGCTAGAGTCAAACAAACAAATATACAGCCCCACCCCCATACACACATAGTGTTTTTCTACAGAAACTGGATATTTCACTCTACAGGGAAAGATCATATTTGTCCAGTCCCACTTATAGATCTTTTAATGGACTTTTCAGATAAGAGCATACAGCCAAGGGTCTCCAGACATTTGTAGAAATTATCTGATTGTGCATATCAGAGACAACTTATATATAAAAAAAACAACATAGAAGGAACAGTGACTATAAGAGGAAATAAAAGTTAACAAGCTTAAGCAAGAAAAAGCACTCAAAACTATTTTTAATTTTCTCAGTGGGAATAGAGGAAATGACTACATCCATGACAATCAGGATGAAGTACTATTTAAAAAGCATATGGTTGTGCACACCTTTAATCCAGCACTAAGGAGGCAGAGGCAGGCAGATTTCTGTGAGACTGAGGCCAGCCTGGTCTGCACAATGACTTCCAGGCTACCTGGGGCTACAGGGAGACCCTGTCTCAAAAAATGAAAAGAAACAAGGACTGGAAAAAACATTTTAAAGAATAATAAAAATCTTAAAAAAAAAAAAAAGAAATAGCATAATGAAATTAGAAGATTCATTTAACCGGGTGTGGTGGCGCATGTCTTTGATCCCAGCACTTGGGAGGCAGAGGCAAATGGATCTCTGTGAGTTCGAGGCCAGCCTGGTCTACATAGTAAGTTCCAGGCCAGTTGAGGCTATAGGGAAACCCTGTCTCAAAAAGACCAAAAAAAAAAAAAAAAAAAAAAAAAAAAAAAAAAGATTAATTTAGCATTTAATTTTTCAAAATAATAAGCATACTAGATAAAACAGAAAATTCGCAAAAGTAAGTTCAGAAAAATGTCCCCAAATTGAAAGACATGAATTCCTAGAGCAAAGTATTTCCCAGGTACCCAGTCTTATGAGCCACCATCAAAGCTTATCTTCTGGAGGGCTGCCTCCCCGGTCCTGGGATTAAAGGCAAGCACCACTACGGTAGTATAAAAATGAAAATTTCAGTTTTATATAATACATAGTGGCAACATTTTCACATTATTACTTAAATGAAAGAAATTTATTTTGTCTGTGGTCTTTTGATTTTTTTTTTAACAGAGTAAAAAGAAATTTGAAAGAGAATGTAGAGAGGCAGAAAAAGCACAACAGAGTTATGAAAGATTGGATAATGATACTAATGCAACCAAGGCTGATGTTGAAAAGGTAAGAAATCAAAACCTGCTTTTAAAAAGTATTATTGAGGGGCCGGAGAGGTGGCTCAGTGGTTAAGAGCACTGGTTGCTCTTGCAGAGGATCCTGGTTCGATTCCCAGTACCTAAATGGTAGCTAACAACCATCTGTAACTTCAGTTCCATTGGATCCAACACTCTCTTCTGACCTCTGTGTACATGCATGTCTTAGGTGCACTTACATACATGCAGGCAATAAATTTATACACATAAGATAAAAATAATAAAATATTTTTAAAAGTATTAATTGGTTTATATTCATTGTGTATAGTGAGCAAACCCTGCTTTGATAGCCAAATATTACTCACATGGGGAAGAAGTCATATCATTTGTATCAGTATTAGAAGAGATACACTGCATCTAAATCTAAAATATCCAGTATTTGCCCAATTGAAATATGTATTGATCTGAGAAGGTAACATGCTAATATAATATCTTAGCTGCATTCAAATGCTAAGGAGAAAGAGTGGCTTCTAGGATTGTTTTCAGCCTTATTCTAACAAAACTGGATGGGAAGCTTTAGGTATATCTATCAAGCATGCAAATTGGTTATGACTGAATAGTGCTCTTGACCATGTTACAGAAGAGAAATCATTAAACTGCCATGATTTTAGCTCTTTAGTCATTGATTCATTTACAAAACTAAACCTCTTGTCACTAGTTCTGAGCCAGGTATTCTGTAGCATAACCAGTAGGATTAGCCCTGTGACTGCCATTGCTTATCTTGTTTTCTTGTCCTTCCTCTGTATGCTTTGTCTCAAAACATTTGATAGGGTGACAGTGCTGATGTGTTGGGATTTTGAAATTTAAATGAACTTTTCTTCATATTGTTGTATGTACTAATGGACTTCCATTAACATGTTTTCTCCTTTGGATTTTATGATTTCCTAAAGGATTAGACTGAGGGAAAAAGAAAGGAGAGAAATAATTTATTTCCTGCCTTCATTTTTTTTTTTTTAACAAACAAAAACGCTACAGGTCTTCTAGTATAACAGCCTGTTTATGTATTTTCTATCCTTTTTCTAGTGACTTGTATATCCTGCTAATATAAGTTCCCAGTCCTATAAATGTATAATTTCAAGGTAGTTTGTTCATTTTTATCAGTCTTCAATTTAATTTAATTCCTTATATTGGCTTTACTCATCTGTTTTACATTTTTAAGTTCCATAGAAATATATCAAACATATAATATATATATATTAATTACATACTTCAGAATAGCTTTTTATGCATTTTAGCTTATTGGGTGTGCTCTACGTCTAAACAGATTGTATTTCTTCAACTGCTTCACGTAGGAAATTGCTTAAAATTATCTTTATTATGATTACTTTCCTTTGGGTACCTCTTCATCTGTCAATATCCCACTTAAAGTATTTTTTTAAAATTTATTTTGTAACCTTGATATGGTCTGATCAGTTCTAATTTTGATTATCTCCTTTGTCTTATCCTATTAAAGTTTTTACATCCTAATGTTGATTATATATTTCCTTCCCAGTATGATGTCATATACATAATTAATTGATCAGTGTGCTGTTACTAGTTGATAGTATTATGGATCACAGCAAATGCCAAAGGCACTATTTTATACATGGAAGACTTCTTGCAAGTTGACATTCACTCTTAAACACTCTGTATTAGTTACTTTTATTTTTATTTTATTTATTATTTTTAAATTTTATGTGTATGAGTGTATTGCCTGCATGTAGGTAAGTGCATCCGTGTCGTGCAGTGCTCTTAGAGGACAGAAAAGGCCGTTGGATCCCCTGGAACTGGAGTTATGGACAGTTGTTAACTGCCATGTGGGTGCTGGGATTCAAACCTGGGTCTTCTGCAAGAACAACCAGTGTTCTTAACTGCTGAGCCATCTCTCCAGCCCGTAGTTACTTTTCTATTGCTGTGGTAAAGCACCATGACCAAGGCAACTTATAGAAGGAAGTTTATTGGGCTTCTAGTTCCAGAGGGACGAGAGTCCATCATGGCAGGGAAAGCATGGTGACAGGAAGCAGGAACAGAAAGTTGAATGCTCACATCTTCAAGCAGGCACAGGAAGCAGAGAAACACAGGACTGGAAATGGATGTGGCTGTGAACTGTCAAAGCCTATTCCAGTGACGTCCTTCCTCCAGCAAGCCTGTACCTCTTAAACCTCCCCAAGACAGTGCCACCAGTTGGGGACAAAGTGTCTAAATACTTCAGGATTATGGGGAACATTCCTCTTTTAAACCATCACACATTCTTTTGATTCATTATTAAATATTGGTCATTCAAATATATGTCCTAGGCAATTGAAAGTTATTTATTCAGTGAACTCTTCATTTAAAGTGTTTAACATCTTGTCTACAGAGGTCATTTTAGTTATTAGATAAGCGTCTTGAAACCTAGATACAATGTGTCTATTAGTGTGGCCTGATGTATTCAGACCTTCAGTATTCACAGCCTTTTTTAATATTCATTAATTTACAATACCTGTAATTATTAGAAAATTATGCAAGGCCTCCATCGTTTTAGCTCCTTAGCCTTATCCTCCTGTATATTGGTGTTGAAAACTCTGCCCAGTGAGATCACAGCCGCTGACGGGGAACTGGAGTTTCCCCTGACAGATTATGAGGATTTGAGGCTAGGAAATTTGGAATCGTTTGTTCTGTGGTTTGTGGTAGAAAGAAAAAAGAGGAAGGTGTAAATAAATGTGTACTTTTTCCAAGACGGAACTTCACTTTTTCTTTTCTGTAGAAGTACTTCGGTTTGCAATGTTTAGTTTCCATTGTACTTATTTGCTGGTATCTTCATTCATACTGTAGATTCTTAGCTACCCTGTTTCTGTAGGTCAGTTTGTTTCTTTGTTAAGAAGATCGAGTTATAGATTGCTGTTAGAAGATTAGGATTAGGATAGTGAGTTATAAAGGGCTAGGAATGTACCTCAGTGGTAGAACATTTGTCTAGCATGAGTAAGACTGTTAAGTTCAATCATTAGCGAAAGAAAAAAAGAACAGTGAAGTATATTCTCATTGTGTTTTATCATTTACAAAGCCCTGGGATGTAAAATGTTTTGTTTCTTAGACCACTATAAAAATGAACTCTTGATCCTTTCACCTCAGCCTTGCAAGTGCTTGATACTACTGGTGTGCAACAGTGTATCTGGGGAGTCCAATTCTTACTTTGTTTTTTTCCATTATTTTAGAACAGTTTCCATTGTGCTCTAGCATGTCCAGAACTAGCAATTTCATTTATATTCTAATATTCTCATTAATGTAGGTAATATCCATTTGACTTTCTGGAAGAAATAGAATATAGAATTATATTACAAATAAGTACCCCTGATTTTCTAGAGCTGGAAACCATTGTTAAATATTGCATAACTCAAAACACATTTTAATGATTATTTATATTAACTTTGGTTTTAGTTTCATATTCTAACTGGATATAAGAGGATTATAAAGAAATATTTTATGACTTTTAAAGTAGTCTGAAATATTCCTAAGGTACTTGTTTTTCTTTTCTCCTTTTTAAAAATGTAATTTCAAGGTATAATGTCATTTATTGCTTTCTATGAAATTTTGTAATGAAAGACTTTCAGTTATTGCAAGGAGGAGGGCTCTTAGAGGAGAGAGGAGGATTGTTGTGATAAGAAAACCACTGTAAGATCTAGAAGCATTTCCTTAAATTTAAATGATACCAAGAGTTCATGCCATCTGTTGGCTTCTTTATTGACAATATTTTCAGAAAGTTAATTACTGTGGTTTTGTTGTTGTTGGTAATCATTTGGACCAATTTTGCCTGTAGGCCAAACAGCAGTTGAACCTGCGCACACATATGGCTGATGAAAATAAAAATGAATATGCTGCACAGTTGCAAAATTTTAATGGAGAACAGCACAAACATTTCTATGTAGTGATTCCTCAGATTTATAAGGTAAGTTTAGTTTCTAGTTTGAATTCAAAGAGTGAGTCTTTAAGTTGAATTTTTTTTTTCAGTGCTGGAAACCAAACCTAGATTCTTACTGGGCTAGGTAAGCACTCTACCACTGAGATACAGCCCGAACCCCCAAATTTAAGTATTACACTGCCTACACTTCTTTTTGTCTGTAAGGAAAAGATAGACCATAGAGTGAAAGTTGGTGGACTGGAGGTGTGTGTGTCAGATTCTGGTCATTTAATACAGAGCATCCACCTGGTAGCCTTCACTATGATAGTGTTAACCAGCAAGTCTCCATATTCTGCATCAACTTTAACTTAGAAGTAAACTACCCGTTGTGTTTGGGGGCTTGATTCTCTTTTTTGGTACTAGCTCTGGAGCAGTATTGCCATTTTTTGATGCCAGAAAATAGTTCTTTAAAAAATATGCACTTCTCAAATTCCTGAGGCTTCGGAAAGTAAGGAGGAAAAGTGATATGAACCGAAGTTTGAGAACTTGAGCTGTGTAGTTGCTTCGTAGGAAAGAGAAAAGTCAGTGTTGGCAAATAGCAAGTATGGAAAGAAAAGCCCTTAACTTACTGAACCTCTTGTGCCCCAGCATATTTCCCAGTAACATTTGCCTGTGAATTTTTGTATGTGCCACTTTGGTGATGTGGCTTTCATGTCCTCAACTCTGTAGTGGTCACTCTGAGCTGTGCACTCCGGTAGGGTCTGGGTACCTGTTTGTGTGTGCATTTTGTCCAGCTATGTTTTGCTATAGTACTCTGGACTAGTTTAAGGTTGGACATCTCAGACTGTTTTTAAAAATTAGTGTTAGAATTTGGTCTTCAAATGGAATATTGCATAAAAGCATAAACAAGAACTACTCTGAATGAAGAATAAAAGTTCAAACAGATATGACTAAGAGACTTGAAAATAAGCACAGAAAGCCTTGTTTTCTTACTATTATTTAAGAGGCCTCAGGTTATAAGAATTGTTAAATCTGGCTGCAGAGATGGCTCAGCAGTTAAAGAGCACTGGCTGTTCTTGCAGAAGACCTGGGTTTGAGTCTTAGCACCCACATGGGAGCTAATAGCCACCCATAACTCCAGTTCCAGGGGATCCAACACCACCTTCTGTCCTCTGAGGGCACCGCATGACACAAGTGTACTTACATGCAGACAATACACTCATACACATAAAATAAAAGAATTGTTAAATCTATATATCACTGGTTTATTTGTTGTTGTTGTTCTGTTTTGTGACAAGGTCTCCCTGTAGCCCCAGCTGGTCGGGAACTATGTAGACTGGGCTGGTCTCAAACTCGTAAAGACACACCTGGTGTAAATGTCACTGTTCAAGTATATTTAAAAGAAAAGTTATTAGGGTCGAAATCTATTTGGGGTGGTCACTAATTGCTCTCCTTCAGAATGATAATAAAATTTATTTTCCCTCTTTTTTTGAAATTCTGATTATTAGCAACTACAAGAAATGGATGAACGAAGGACAATTAAACTCAGTGAATGTTACAGAGGATTTGCAGACTCAGAACGTAAAGTTATTCCTATCATCTCAAAATGCTTGGAAGGAATGATTCTTGCAGCAAAATCAGTTGATGAAAGAAGAGTAAGTGCTGTCTAATTGTCTCTGAATGAATGCACATGGTGTAGGTAATGAATGGATGGGAAAGGAGTGAAATAATCTAATGAATTAGTCTGTAGGAGAAAGCCTTGCCATAAATTAGACTCCTGCAATGAGTTGAACTAAAAAATTCTGATTCTTTAAAAGAAACTTTCTAGCCCTCTTCTTTTCCTAATATTTTAGCTCTAACCCAAGAGTATAACCTTTGAACTATGTATTTAAATTGTATTATACTGTTAGTATAGTGAAAGTTTAGAGAAGGATGTGGTTAGATATATCTTGAGTTGCCTTTAATGGAAGATTTAATGCTTGAGCTAATCACGAAACCTGGTACTGTGTAGAATAGTAACCCATGAGGAGGAGGAAGAAGGGCGTCAGGAGTAAAGGAAACAGCATAGTCCTGTATTCCTGAGGAAATAAGTCTGATGTCATTATTGCTTGGTTAAAGTGTAGCGGAGTCTTAGATCTGGTCATTTCTCAATAAATGCTGATTGAGTCACGAAACAGAATGGATTGCTAGGCTCTGAGATTATAAGGTGAAACAAGAGAAAAGAGCTAGTTTTGGAGGCTATCAGATATGTGCTCACATAGTTTAGTCTTCACGCAAACTTAATAAGTAGATGTCAATGAAGAATCTTCCTGTAACTAGTTGAATCTTTAAATTTGTAAAAGAGTCAAAGAGCTCTTGGCATAGGATAGCTGCTAGGAGAGGAAGAGTTTCCTTTAAGGGTGCTCCCCCCCGCCCCAGCTGGTCCAAGCTCTAGGAATGGTACCACTTTCAAGAGTATTTGGGCAACACAAATTGTATTTGATTTGGGGGGCAGGACATGAAGGTGGGTAGGTAGGGAGGTGGGTATAGATCAATGGAAAAGTGTTGAAAAAAAAGAAAAGAGGATTTGAGGCTTCTTTAGATGGGAATTCCAAATATGTGTATAATTTCATTTATACTTTTCTATTGGAATTAAAATATTGAAAGCTTATTATAATTTTCACAGGAAGAAATTATTTACTTTGAGCCTTTGGTGATTCTTGTAGATCTATTTCTTTAAACCTTCTTTTTTAGTTTTGAAAGCTAATATAGTAAAACCAAATACAATGGTTTAAAAAAAATTTGTTTCTTTTGTATAGGATTCTCAAATGGTGGTAGACTCCTTTAAGTCTGGTTTTGAACCTCCAGGAGACTTTCCATTTGAAGATTACAGTCAGCATATTTATAGAACCATTTCTGATGGGACAATCAGTGCATCCAAACAGGAGAATGTGAAGGTGGATGCCAAAACCACAGTAGGAAAACAATGGTTTAAAAAAAAATTGTTTCTTTTGTATAGGATTCTCAAATGGTGGTAGACTCCTTTAAGTCTGGTTTTGAACCTCCAGGAGACTTTCCATTTGAAGATTACAGTCAGCATATTTATAGAACCATTTCTGATGGGACCATCAGTGCATCCAAACAGGAGAATGTGAAGGTGGATGCCAAAACCACAGTAGGAAAGGCCAAAGGCAAATTGTGGCTCTTTGGAAAGAAGCCAAAGGTAAAAGTCATAAAATTCCTGTATGCTAATCATATTTTTTAGTAATTTAGTAAAGTTGAAAAAGACATTGAATGGATAATAACCTACTACTAATAGAGGATCAGTTTCATTCATTCAGTTTGAATGATTCAACTAACCTTTCACTCATTAGGAAATAGTTTTTTATACCTCAGTGTGTTGAACACTTAATGATGTGTAAGAATATTAAGTTGTTAATATTTAGTTAAATTGTATGTCTTGAAATTTCATTTGCATATAGTTTCAGAATTTCTAAGGAAACATCTCAATGAAATACTAAAATTGAAATTCTTGGTTGGAATAAATGATGAAGCACATTGATGATACCAAATTAGACCTCGTATTCATGCTACTATTTTATTATCTATAGGGAATTTTAATGAGAAGGGCTCAGTGTTCTCCACTACATTTTAAAAAAATCTCCAATTTACTAAGAGACTCTTACTCTTAACTTCTTGTCAAACCTCAGGTTTTGATGTGCTGCTAATTTGAGATATCTAAACATAGATCAACACATAAGCACATAGATGACTGCTTTGTCTTTCTTGTCAATCTAGTGATTGTAATAGCATATCAGGAAGGGGAATAGATGTGCACCATTAATCTGATATGCTGTACTTACTAAAGTGTACTTGATTATTTTAATTCATTTCTTTGATCTTGCTATATACAATTTGGTATATACACTTTAATTCAAATTACATATCTATAAGTAGCCTTAAAAACACAGTTATAGTTAACTCAGGCTTTACTTATGCATTTAATAATATTGTTCAGTCAAGAAGTTGAGAGGTGAGACATTCTTAGTCATATCAGAGTAGCTAGGGCAGCTTAGAAATCTAAAGCATACCAAAGTTTATTATAAAATGAGGTAAAAAATGGATGAAATAGAAACAGCCTGAGAGGAAAGCTATGAATATAATGAAATTTTTTTTGCCTATTTATGGTAATCAGTTACAGTTTTAGTATTTTGTGTGATGACTTTAACTATAGCTGCTGCTTTTATCTCTTGACAAGTACAAGTTGAATGTGACCTGTATAAGAGTCAGTGCTGGTGTTAATATTCTAGAAACCAGAAGAGAATTTTAAAAATCTAGGTCATATTGTTCTCTCTAACATTGTAATTTGTGTACTTTATGTTTTTAATCTCTCAGCTTATAAAAAACCAGTGAAGTGAAATGGTATATTTACAAAAGTAAATTTGACATTTTAAGAGTAATAGTTTTTTTTTTTTTTTTACAAAACTATGTTTACTTTCTTATAATATTATCATAGAAAACTTTATTTGAGGTGTATTTTGTGAAGAATATATTGCCAGAAATAGAATTTTCATTTAGGAAAAAACTATGCACATTTGGCTTATTGATTCCTTTCTTTATTTCCATATTAGCCACAGTCCCCACCCTTAACCCCTACTAGTTTATTCACATCCAGTACTCCTAATGGGTCCCAGTTTCTCACATTCTCCATTGAGCCCGTGCATTATTGTATGAATGAAATAAAAACAGGGAAGCCCAGAATTCCTTCTTTCAGAAGCCTCAAAAGAGGGGTAAGTTTAATAATGGGTTGAAATGCATGATGGCCTAATTGTGTGTGTAGTGTGGCTTTTAATACTCTCCACCCTCATTATAAGGCTCTCTCCTATAAATCCATAGTTTAAAACAGCACAGAATTAAGTATAGCTGCCCTCAAGTTAAAAACAACTCCTCTTTATAGCATTTGCAATGTTCAACCATAGAAGAATGGTATTATAAAGAGGGTGCTGGGTACAGTCATATTTTAGCTATTTTTTTGTTTATGTGAAACCATATGTCCACCATTGTCTTGTAATGTATTTACATTTTTAAGACTTTCAGTAATTTGTCACTGGAGTTGCTTTTGTACTAATTTGTCACTAATGCTGAATTCACCTGCCAATTTATAGTTTTGTTTTGTCAACAGTAAAATGTTTGATTTTAATTGCCCTACTTCTGGAAGCATAAAACATAATTTCTAATACCTTAATCAAAAAATTAAAAAGCCAGTGTGGTGGCACACACCTTTGTAATTGTAGTACTTGGAAGGCTTCGGCAGGAGGATTGAGAATTTGAGGCCCATCCGGGTTAGGTAGTGAGTTCAAAACCAGCCTTGGCTGTCCAGTGAGATGCTGTTTCCAAAATCAAACCAAGTCAAAACAAAAAATAGGAAAATAAGTATAATAAAGTGTTTATGGATCAAATTATTATAAGGTACTCTGTAAGTTATTAAAGCCTATAAAATATTTAGGTATTATTGAGTAATTTTAATGGAATTTATATTTTGAAGTAAAGAATTTTCTCTTTATTCTTTTTTAAAAAAATTAACCAGCCTTAGACATTTACTATTCCAATAGTACTCTGTAAATGAAAATTTACAGACTACTAAAATGCAAATACCATATTAAACTGTTTCTTAGCAATGACTGTTGTACTATAGTAAATAAATAAATAAATTAGTGTTACTTCATTTTATTGGGAAGATTAGTTTTTCCTTTCCTTGGTTCTGATGGTTGAACCCAGGTCCATATATATATGTATATAGAAGTACTCTATCACTAAACCATATCTGATCCCCTTAATTTTTCTTGTTTATGTTTGATTTTTAGGTTATGCTCTTAATTATATGCCTATAATTTAGATTTTATGACTTGTTGGCCATTTAAAGAACATAGGTACGATGACCCGTAGATGTGCCAACTGATCATCAGCAGTAATACAATAATATGGGGCTCTTTTTTTCTTCCTTTCTGTGGTCTTTTCTGAAATTAGAGTACATTTTAGCCCTAAATATATTTGTTTAGGGCAAGATTACATTATTATCCACACTATTAAAATGACAAACTTGACTGATGCCAGTACTACAGAAAATGTTCCAGTATATTATATCCCCCACTTTGACTTTTTTCCCTCAAGTGACGTAAACTTCTTCACATCTACCTGACCTAATTCTGTATGTAAGAGGCAGTTCACCACCTTAGCACAGTCCTTGCAGATGAGTTTGCATGGTCCTGTGCAGGCGTGCTGCTTATCACTTTTGAAGCCCTTATACGTGCTTGAGAGACTTTAAGAATTCATATTTGGAATTTCTGTTACTTTAGTTATGAGGGTAGAATTCCCCAGATGCTTTTCATAGAGATATGAAGTGAATCTAAGTCTATGGAAGAAGAAAGTTTAAGCAGTTAGAACTGTTAGGCTGCAAAGTCGTAAATGTGCGGGTTTTTCTTCTTCTTGAACAGTTTGCAGGTAGAACTTTACAAGTGCAGTACTTAAAAATTGCCTGATCATTATTTTCATATGTTGCTTTAATTTTAAGTAGTCATACATTGTTATACATTTTTATAGTTTTGGAAAATTGAAATCTCATTGAAGTTCTAGTATTAATTACCATAATAGCTAAGAAGAAAGCAGTGTGTAGTGTAGAAACTATGATGAATAAACGAAATGAGGGGATTCAAGGATGGGGCCAGGGAGGAAAGGATCACATCTTTGGGATTTAGAAATTTTTATACTTTGATTGGTGTTTGATAGTTTACTAGATATTTAAAAATTAATAGTAGAAATAGAAATGTTTTCTTTCCACTTAAGAACTTTTATGAATGTAGAGAAAAATCCCAGAAGGAAAGTAAACATTAATAAACTGATATTTTTACATGGATTTTTGTGGATTTTTTCAGTCCATTAAGCTTACAAAATAGGTCAAGATTTCTTAGAGCTGCTGAATTGTAGCCTTCAATTTGGAAACTATTGTGTGTCCTCTTGGATATTGTTTTTCTTAAATAATTTTTCTAAAGAATATGTGCATATATATATTTTTTTAGGGGGCAGTCTTTTTGAGACGGGTCTCCCTGTAGCCCCAGCTGACCCGGAACTCACTATGTAGACCAGGCTGGCCTTGAACTCACAGAGATCTGCCTGCCTCTGCCTCCCGAGTACTGCAATTGAAGGCATGCGCTGCCATGCTCAGCGAGAATATGTATATTTCTTTTTAAAGAGAAAAATTGGTATATACAATTTACATTAGTTAGGAGATGAGAAATGTTACATCAAACTGATGTTTGTGAGTTTGACAGTCTTCCCACTGTATCTGTTCTAAGGGGTGTTTCTGTAATTGCCCTCTGTGACATCGAGTTCTAACTTTCAGTGGATATTGGGGAAATATACCCAAACTTGACTACTTAATATACAAACTAATATTTTTTTTTACCCCTTTCTTTGGCTGTCATTAGATTCTTTTTAAGAGTAATAAATTAGTTTATACTAAGAAGTCCATGTTTTGTGTCTAATTATTCATAATCATTCAGACCTCTCGAGGTATTCTTTTAGACTTTTACTATTCAGAATATAGTTCTCAAGATTTTGACCTGTTTTAAAATGAAATACACCTGGTTATCTTCATTCCTTTACTCATGTTAGTTCTCCTGTATTTTGCACTACATTAAGATGTAGTGATTATATGGAATTTTCTAGTTTGTAAGTATAAATTACTTACATATCTAAGTATTGTATTTTTGCATTGCTTTAAAATATTTCTAATATTTTCTTACAAAGATCTTGAATTTTCAGTGAACTATAAATTCATTTTCAATTTGTTAGTAAAACTGGTTAAGCTAAAATAGAAATGTTAGATATTTCATCTATAATTATCCTATTTCCTCTGAAAGATACTAAAATAGAAATTAGAAAAGTAATTCCATCATTCAGAAATACAGGTAGTGAAAATTATAAAAGATAAGCCATCTGCTGGTGCACACCTTTGATTCCAGCACTCAGGAGACAGATCTCTATGAGTTCAAGACCAGATTCATCTATAAGTAAATTCCAGACCAACCAGAGACATAGTGAGACCCTCTCTCAAAACAACAACAAAAAGACAAGCCAAGTACTTTAATTTTGTTTCTTGTTATATGTAATTTTAGTAGTGTTTAAAGAATGCAAGGATGTTTTTCCTTCATTTAAACCTATGTGTTTTCTCACCATGAATTTTATGATAGTAAAATAAATTGATTTTTTTTCTTCTTAAAACTACTGACAGTCTAAAGAATGTTAAGCTTAGTTTAGAAAGACAATGGATAGCATCATCTTTCCTTCATAATCATTAATGTACATGGCCAGCTCATCAGAGATAAAGGGTAGATATTTTTGCTAGATATTAACTTCTTTTACATTTTTATGTGAAATTCTATTTGATATCTATCACCTTCTCTTTAAAAAAAAAATTACGATTTAGAAAACAGGGAAAAGTGAAATTTTAACATGGGGTTACTGGGGATTGAACCCAGGGCCTTGCACTTGCCAGGTAAGCAGTCTACCAGGCATGTCTTCCCCCTAAAATGAAGGAATTTTAAGGTTAGCCAAATGTGATGAGTATAAAGATGAATTTTTTAGGTCATTCTCTCTCTCTCTCTCTCTCTCTCTCTCTCTCTCTCTCTCTGTGTGTGTGTGTGTGTGTGAGTGTGTGATATAGTCTATGCCAGTTGCAGAATCCTCTTCAACCTTCAGAACCGTATGTGTTATTTCCATGCTCTAAGAGCATCTATAGTTGATCTCTTCAGATTCTGTTCATGTCGTATCTTCTGAAAGGATAAATTTTATTCAGTTTGCTCTTTTTAGTGCTGTTTTTCAAGTATATGGATTTCAGAATAAAATCTGAAAAATAGAAAATTTCTTCTCAAAGCAAAATTAAACCTATATATTTGTGTCTAATAGGTACATAGTGAATTTGATTCTGGGTAACTCAATTTATTTATTTTTTAAAAATAATACCTTAAGAATGTTACCCTCACCAAACTTTTGATACATTTAAATTCAGAATAGTGTTTTGAATGATAAAATTTCAGGATATGATAGATGCTTTCTTTAGAACACTGGGAAGGACATTCTGGTTTTTAAACTTTTGTTTAAGATTTCTTTTTAAATGGGTAATATTAGATCTTTTTTTCATTCAACTTTTCAAATACCAGTTTTTTGAAAATGAATAATTAAAATCTACCTTTATAAAATTCTCTTTAAAAGAAAATGTATGATTACTGGTAGAATGATCACTATTTTCTTTTGAGTTTTAGTTAAATTTAGAAAATATCTGCCCATTATCAGTGTATGCTTTTCTTTTTTCTTTTTTTTTTTTGTGCAAGTAATTTGCTTTCCCAAAATGTGCTTAAAATTATTTTTTCCTGGCATAATTGTTTGAATTGTAAAATGTACATGATTTATTTTAATATTGTAAAAAAATTATAGGTTATTGCATCTTCTGTATTATAGTTTCATGTGAATAATTTACCATTTCTTTCTGTTTTCCATTGAACTATTCAGTGGTCGGTGAAGATGGTAAGCCCTGTGTGCTGATCTGTATACTGTGCCAACATTAAATAAAGCTCAAAACATTGTTTTGTTTAATTCAAAACAAGTGGTAAAGTACATCCCATATTTTCAACTTGTATGTGTATTTTATCTTTATAATTTAATCCACAGTCCAACATATGCCAGTACCTTTTGGTGTCCTCGATTAGACAGCAGTGTGGTTAACTCTCATCAACCTATTAAATTCTTAAATGTTACTGGATGGAGTCCTTGTCATGTTATAGAGAGTAATAAATTGATAATTGAATATCATTTTTAGAGCTGCATGGTGGAGCAGAAGTTTATGTTGTATAGAAGTAAAATTTAGAAAAAATGTTTTTCTTAATATCTTTTAAAATGATATAAATGTAATTTATAGTTTATTATAAGAATTACTAAATTGTCCAAAAAAAGGGAAAAATCATACTGATTTCATTATGGAGTCAGTGCTTTGTTCAGCACAAATAATCTGTGTGTGTGTGTGTGTGTGTGTGTGTGTGTGTGTGTGTCTTTGTCCCTCTGTTTGGGGTGTTCCTGTATACATTTATTTCACACAAATAGATGAATCTACATTATGAAGAACTAACCCCCTAATTGTTGGGGGCTTGCATAGGAAGCTACGCTCTAGCTTTTAGAAACAGATCACTTTTTTAGACAGAGTTAAGACTTTTATAGTTCTTGGTAGTAGAGAAGTTGTTAACTGCCTCAGGCCTCTTAACATCCTTGGGAAATAGATTGGGTTTGTTTCTTGTGCTTTATGTAAGAGTGTGTTATACTGTTGAAGCAGGATATTACAAATGCAAGTGCCTTGATAGCTACTGCTAGTAGAATTGACAACAAAGTTTCATTAGGGATAGGCAGACACCTGGCAGATTTATTCAGAGATAATGACCAGTTTGTTTTATTCCCCCCAAAAGGCCACCACACTGAATACATTTCAATAATTTTCAGATTTTTCAGAAGTATTTTATAAAGTATAAGTTAGGAATTTATCTTTGGCACTTAGATAATAGTATAATGCACAAATTAGAATGAATCAAAAAATTACGTGGATTACTAACTACTCAATTTAAAGGAAGTTTATATAGGAAATTTTGTTGTTCTGTTATTTAGGTTAGATTTGGTTGGCATTGCTGTTTTTGGTGCCTGGGAGATGTACAAGCAAAAGCTACTTAAACAGGTGCTCCGCTTTTAGTTTGTAGGCTTGGTAAGTATCCACAGTGGATAGCCACTGGGGAAAAGAGCCTTAGGATTCTTGTTATTAATTAAAATGTAACATTTGGTCATGGCTCTTCCTGCAAGTGAGTTTTCTCTTATAAGTAAATGAAACATTCTTGTAGATAGTGAAATCAAGCTATTTAGCTATATTATAGGCATAAGTGACCCAGAGAGCATGGATGCATTTTATTTTGCAAGCTCATCTCAGCAGCACTTTGGAAATTTGAACTATATTCATGTTCTTAACCATTTTGAAAAGAAAAATGAAAGATAATAGAGGCCAAATTTTGGAATATATAAGAAGTTAATACAGGTATATTAAGTGGAAGCAGTAGTTGCTGATAATGGTTCTGTTGTAATCTCTAATAATGTAGCTAAAATAACAATGACTAAATTAATATTTAAGAAGAAAATAGAGCTAAGTGTGTTCACACACACCTGAATTCCCAATACTCAGGAGGTTAAGGCAGGAGGACTCAGAGTTCAAGGCTTAGGCTGAACTTCATAGTGAGACCCAGTCTTAGAAGTATCTTCAAAAAAGGAAAATCACATCATTAGTTAAAAAAAACCTGTATCTATATACTAGTGCTTTTCATTAAATCACATTCTTGAACATGAAAGCATTAAAATATTTCTAAACACTAAGAATCTTTCCTAAATATGGATTGTATCAAGGCAGGGCATGGTGGCACATGCTTATAACACTTGGGAGATTGAGGCAGGAGCATCATGAGTTCAAGTTACAGACTATATAGTATGATCCTGCTAAAAAAAAAAGGGAGAGAGAAGAGAGATTATATCCTTCAGGGCCAGCTGAGGTATGTTACTTGGTTTTACAAGAAAATTGAGAGGGTATTCCATGTGTGAATATAACTTCTAATTAATAGATTGTACCTTTTATTAATGATCAGATTCATTTTTGTTTCCAAATAATGGTTTAATAAGTATAATCATTCAAAAACTATATATATTCTTGAAGTATATTTCTTTAATTAGTTGTCTTTATGAGGTAAGTTGCTTATGTAGCTCAGTTATATAAACTTCATATTTTTAGTCTGAACATTTATAACATTTTAAATGTCATAACAATGGATTTGATTTCAGGTTATATAAGAATACATATAAAGTAGTAACTTGTATAAATGAGAAATGTTGTATGTTTCCATTTTGTTGTTGTTGCTGTAAGAAGATTCATATGTATTCATCTTAACTTTGCCAAGACTTGAAAATAGTGTGCTGCTTGTTACCGTTTACCTGTATTTGGTGATTTCCCCTTCTTTCCTTCCTTCCTTCCTTCCTTCCTTCCTTCCTTCCTTCCTTCCTTCCTTCCTTCCTTCCTTCCTTCCTTCCTTCCTAAAAATTGTTTTGAAATTTGAACTCCTCCTTCAATATAATTATTTTCACCAATACATCTATGTAGATTGATTGATTGATCCTCCCTCCCTTCCTTTCTTTAGAGGATTCATTATTTGGGGGCAAATTTGAAATTAAAGTTAGCATCCTTATTTTATAGCAGGTAAAGTTAAAGAAAGTTTACTGGGAATGTCTTTAATAATGATTTAGACTCTCTTTTCAGGGCCCAGCACTGGAAGATTTCAGTCATCTGCCACCAGAACAGAGACGTAAGAAACTGCAGCAACGCATCGATGAACTTAACCGAGGATTGCAGAAAGAATCAGACCAAAAGTAGTGTTCCTTTAAGGCCTCTCTCTCGCTGTTCTTTCTTTCAGGATATACTTTGAATGATGTGTTCAAATGTGGTATATGGAATGTTTCAAAATCATTCTGGGCTGGGACAATAGCTCAGTGGTAAGAGTATTTGCCTAGCATTCATGAGGGCCTAGGTTTAATTCCCAGCACCATCACCATCTCCCCAAATACTGTATATCCCAATTGAAATACTTTTAGAGAAAAAAAACCTCCTAAACTACAAAATTTTATAATTTCCATATTATAGGTAAAAAGGAAATTTTTGAGTTTTTATTGCAAAAGTTTTGGTCTTTTTGAGACAGGGTCTCCCTGTAGCCCCAGCTGGCCTGGAACTTGCTACATAGACCAGGCTGGCCTTAAACTTAACCACAATGATCTACCTGCCTCTGCCTCGAAAGTGCTGGGATTAAAGGCATGTGCCATCACACCCAGCTTTTATTGCAGATTTTTATTAGTTGCCATTAGTATGCCTTCCATAAATTTGTGACAATAAAAAAAAAATCCCCAAACTTGATAACTCATTGTCAAGAATAGTTTTAGTAACACTACCTCTTATGTCTTTCTTTTTCTTTTCTTTTTTTTTTTTTTTTTTTTTTTTTTTTTTTTTTTTTGGTAGAGGGTTTTCTTTCTCCACATATAGACCAGGCTGGATTGAACTCACAGAGATCCGCTTGCCTCTGCCTTGCAAGTGCTGGGATTAAAGGCGTGCACCACCACGCCTGGCAAATTTCTTTTTTTATATATAAAATAAGTTCAATAGAAGATTGAGGAATTATTACATACCTGGTACTCATCTAAGCATTTCACATGGAACATGTCATTGAATTCTTCAAAATAGCCTCCTGAGATAGTTGTTCTTATGTAAATGGAGAGACTGGGAATCAAATGTGTGTGTGTGTGTGTATATATATATATATATATATACACACACACACACACACACACGTGCGCGTGTGTACACGGATGCATATATAAATGTATTGGATAATTGGTAAATGTCATGTTAACCCAGAATACTGGAATTCGACCTTGATGGGAAAATAGGATTTTGTCAGGTGAGAAAATATGGAGGAAAGGAACATTGAAAGACATGGGGAGGACAAGAGAAAGACCAGAAATGCAAGTGTTCTTGCCAAGGCCTAGACTTAGTTCTAATGTAGGGGAACCTGATTAGAAATTATGTAGTATGTAATAATAGGACAACAGTGCAAAGGTGTAAGATGGATGAGGGAAAGTGTTGGCTACTTTCTTGTAGAGTTCTGTTGGCTGTAGGGAGTTTCCAGAAGTTGTGAGGGTTCTTAGCAGCTCTGTTCTGGAGATTACTGAATGTAATGTAATGAGTAGATCCTAGAGTTAGGAGATTGGAGGTAAGGAGACTAGTTAGAAAATTGGAAAACTCTTGAGAGTAGCTATAAAATTAATTGAAACAGCAAGAAAAATAAATTTGGGTAAAAGTAATAATCTTGTTTTTGTTTTGCAAAATATGTGAAAAATGTGCATGGAAAATAGCTGGTTGAGTTTAGATGTATACATTTGTAACTTCAGAACTAGAGACAGACATTGGAGAATCATTAGAAGATTAAAGTGTTCTGAAGCATATAGGATGAGATGAGAAGAAAGTTCTTGTCATTTTATGTAACAGATATTTAAAAGTTGAACAGAGGAGGAGAGGCCAGTGAATGATTGTTAAGAAAATGGAGTTGAGGAGGAGGAAGAGAAAATGTGACCTCCAGGTCAAGAAGGAAAAAGATGTTAAGGAGTGTTCAACAGTACATGTGCCAGGCTCAGACAGCACTGATTGGGCATAACTGATGGGAATGTGATTAGAGAAGAGGAGGTAGGCTAAGGGGATTGGCAGATGACTGAAAGCGGGGGGGAGGGGGTAGGAGAAGATGCATTCCTATTTCTAGCATAGAGAGTGGGAGGACAGTGATGTTGTGTGAACCGATAAGGGAACACTGGTGGAATAGTGTTGCAGGTGGAACTGTAATGAGTTTGATTTAAAGCCTGGCATGGTGGCACATCTGCAATCCCAGCACTGGGGAAGATCAAGAGCTTGAGGTCAGCCTGCTTACTTAGCGGGACCCTGTCTCATAACAAGAAGCAAAATAAAGAATTTGATTCAGGACAGAATGAGTTGTAAGAATATTGAGGAATATTCTACCAGCCAGGCATGAGAAATGAAATAGGACACACACAGGTTTTAAAAGATGCTTTCCTTAAGTGACTGACTATATTGTATATACATTAGCTACTTTATGCAAATTGTCTTTAATTGGGATGCATTTGCCTAAACTTAGAAATGTGACTGTGTTTAAGATTAAGATAAACTTGAGTCCTCAAAGACAAATGGAACTCATCTAAAAGCACACAAAGTGAATGTTAAATTCTGTGGTTTCCTTCTGTTTCTCAGAGATGCACTCAACAAAATGAAGGATGTATATGAGAAAAATCCACAAATGGGGGATCCAGGAAGTTTACAGCCTAAATTAGCAGAGACCATGAATAACATCGACCGCCTACGAATGGAAATCCATAAGAATGAGGCACGTTTGTTACTTAGCAGTTTGTCTGAGATAAAGTATTTTTACCAGCTTTATTGTGATAGATTGGGGTTTGCTAGACTTACATTCCAATATTTAATTTTAGAATTTATGAACTAAAATATTATGACACAAAATTATTAAATTAACATATCTGATGATTTTTATTTGAGTCTTTACATGAAGCTATAAGCATACTTTTTATGAGCTATAAAGTTGATCATTGATTAATAGATTGGAATCAAAATTTCTTTAAGAATCATGTCATAAAGTCTCAAAGTGCATTTTTTTTTTAATTTTCAAATTTTATTTTCAAGTTTTTTTTTTTTAGAAGCATTTCATTACAGCTTTAACATATTCAGTAACACATTCCAGAGCAAGGATACATCTCTTTCAAAGGTGGCTGTAAATTTTTAGGTTTACAGTTGAATTAATACAGTCATACAATAATGAACTCAGTAAAAGCCCTGTAGGACATAAAATTGGATGAGTTTTTACCCTTTAAAGAAGATCTCCACTTCATTTTAAGATATGTTGTTTCCTACATTTTTTTTCAATAAAATATATTTTTTTTTATAATTAGAAGAAGCATTTCATTACAACAGCATTAACCTATTCAATAACATTTTTCTGAGCTAGGGTACATCTCTTTCAAAATTGGCTGTACATTTTTAGGTTTACAGATGAATTATTACGCTTATATAATCTTTAACTCCTTATAAACTCTATAAGACATAAAATTAAATGAGGTTCCAACGTTCAAAGTGCATTTTAAATGCAAGGTATCTTATGAGCTTTCACACATGCTTACTGAACTTGCTTATTGGTTTGCTTATTTTTTCCCTGAAGGCCTGGCTTTCTGAAGTTGAAGGCAAAACAGGTGGGAGAGGAGACAGAAGACACAGCAGTGACATAAATCATCTTGTAACACAGGGCCGAGAAAGGTCAGAGGTTTCTGTTTGTTTCATTTTGTTAGTGTGTTTTTATTTATATTTCTTCTTTTCTCCAAAATTTTCTTACGTTTTGTTTTAAACTTCATACATTTCTTTTTCTTCCTCCTTAGTTAATAAGCCTGGTATTGAATACTTGTCTTTTAAAACTTGTTTTCTGTACCTTGTTGCAGGTGAAATAGGAAATTTCATCTTGTCCTATTCTAGTTTCTCATACATCCCCAAACAGCTAGGAATATAAGAAAAATTCTTGGAACTACAACCTGGGGGTATAGGAACTCTAGGCATGGGTGGGACTCCCTTAAGGTTTATGTGGAGTTGGTATCTTGTGATTGAAGAAAAAAATTACTGTCAAATTCCTTAAAGGTTGGTGAAGAAGATAAGGAGGTATGTATTATAGTTTGGGCAGAGTTTTCAGTTTATCTCTTTGCCAAGTTTCCATACTGCTTGTGAAGTTTCTTCTTTGGTATAATCTTTTTTTTTGCACTGCCTTAACTCCAGTTCCAGGGGAATCCGAAGCCCTCTTCTGACCTCTGCGACAATGCACAACACGGGTGTACTCACATACATGCAGGCAATACATTCATACACATAAAATAAAAATAATAAAAATTTTTTAAAAATCCTTAAATTAGGATTCACCTTTGAGAAGAATTTCAGAGACTTAGTGTCTGATCTTGGCTTACTAATATAAGAGCATAACAAGCAAGTTCAGTTTTTATATTTTGTTAATATCAATTCCCTAAAAATATAAAGTGAGGGGCTGGAGAGATGGCTCAGCAGTTAAGAGCATTGACTGCTGTTACAGAGGACCCGGGTTCGATTGCCAGCACCCGCATGGCGGCTACAAACCGTCCTTAATTCCAGTTCCAGGGGAATCCGAAGCCCTCTTCTGACCGCAACATTGCACGACACGGGTGCACTCACATACATGCAGGCAATACACTCATATACATAAAAATAATAAATAAAATATTAAGAAAAATAAAGTGGAAGTTAAAATACCCATTCTACAGAGTTGTTAGTAGTAAAGGAAATGGTATATATAAGTCATCTAGCAATAAAATAATAATAATATGTGCTTCACCAGGGTGAGCACTTCTTCCTGTTCAGTTCCCTGTCACTGCTGGAAAGATTCTTATTTTTAATAGATCAAGAGAGATTCACAAACAAGTAGTTTTTATTATTTTGTTTAAAACCCCATATTTAAACAGGTCTAGTCTTTCTAGTGTGTGTTAGCAATGTGGTTTCCTAGCTTCCTGGAAGGTGCTGCTGAGCTGAATGGTAAAAAACAAAATATCTTTATGCTGTCTATTCTTTGGGTTTTCTAAGTTACTAATTTCTCTTTCCATAATTAGAAATTATTTTCTTATTTTGTTGAGGAATATTTTGGTTTTAAGCAACAGAATTAATTCTTATTCTGTCTTGGAGTAAAAAATGGGATTTATTGTCTAAGGAACAGCCTAGATGACTCAGCTGTTCTTCCTCTTCGCTCTCCCTTCTATGCTTGCTTCATTTTAAGGCTCCATTTGAACATTTTTCAAAGCCGCAGGCAGCCTTCTTCCAGGTTCAAGGAGAAAAGGGAATGAGCTGCTCAAGTGTTGAGGCATCCCAGGCAGAGGTCCCTGTTCACTTCTGCTGTCTGATGGTTGCAGGACTGCTAGTGACCTGCTCACCCCATGCAGGTGCTGTGCTCATGACCCCTAGTGAGCATGACACAACTTCCTTGTGGACTGAACACAGGTCTGGGGGGTGGGTCTCCAAAGCAACATTAGCTCTCTTTTGCGGAAAGAGAAGACAGTGAGTGACTCTGTGATGGTAGAAAATACATGTTTACTATATGGTTTGATTTCATCTTTAGATCCAATGATTGTGAGATGTGTTTATTGAATATTGCTGTTTTAGAACATTATAATATATAATA